CTTGGCTTAATTCATTCTTCACTTCAAAGACAAAAGACAGTTTGCTCCCTTCTTTGATCTATTCATTCCTTTAAGTAGCATATTGATTTCCTTCTATTCCTTCTTCTGCTAATTAATTAATTAAAAATGTTAATTGCGCACCCACTCTGTTCCAGTGCGTTCTATCCTAGGTGCTGGCTGGGCTAGGGTTTCAGGAGGAAACAGAATCCATCCCAGATGGTGTGTGTGATGACTTACAGAGGGGATGGCCAGGCTCCCTGTGACAGCAAGGAGCCCTTACTGCCAGCACCGAGGGCAAGGGGAGGGAAGTGCTGTCTGGGGAGCCCAGGGAGGGCTGGAGCCATGGAGGACGGCCGCCTGCAGGGAGCGGTGGTTGGGGAGGATGCAGCTGTTGCCGGAGCTGCTGAATTAGAGCAGGGAGGTAGCAAGGAAGAAACACTCCCAGCTCTTTCTCTTTCCACCCCCTGATCTCTTGCCAGTGCCTTTCTTGGGCCAAGGGCCAGTTGCAAGGGAGTCAGCCGATGCGGTCCTTCAGGGCCAGCCTCCCAGGGCAAGAGCCAGGCAGAGAAGGTGGGGACTGGAGTTGGGGAGGCAGAGAGAGTGACCGGCATGACAACCAAATCTCAGCTCTCCGGGCTGCATATTCTAGCTGGAGGACACACATCAACCAACAGGTAAACGTTCATCCGGTGGTGACTGGTGCCATTCCAAAAGTAAATCAGGGTGGGGTCGATGGAGCTTATGGGGGTGGATTAATGATGAGGGTTGCATTTTATGTCTGGGGAGTCGGGGATGAGAAGGGACAGCTGCCAGGAGGCTGTGGCCATCTCCCAGGTGAGAGACGACGTCGTCTGCCCCAGATATAATTGACAGCAGAACTGATGAGGGTTTTGATGACCTGGACAGCCACTAGGAGGGAATCCAGGGGAAGGAAGGAGTCTTTACTGTTTGGCCTGAGACACTGGGAGGGGGGCCTGGAATAAGGGGAGACCTGAGGAAAGAGGGGATTCGGGCAGGGCTGTCGGAAGTTCAGTTTGGGACCTGCTATGTTTGAGAAGCTTCTAAGTGGAGTGAGGACACTGTCCCAGTGGGTGGACAGGTGAGTCTGGATCTCCAGGGAAAGGTTCAAGCCCCAGAGAGAGATTTGGGAGTGTCAGCAGCATATCGATGGTTTTAAGGCTCCGAGTCTGGGTGAAGTCACCCAAGGAGAAAGCATGCACAGCAGAGACGAGGGCTTCGGGCTGAGTCCTGGGACGCTCCACCTGGGAGGTCTGGTAGGCGAGGGGCAACAGCCAAGCTGACTAAGAATGAGTGGCCAGGGAGGCTGAGGGAAAACCAGGCCAGCGTGTTGGCTGGAAGATGGGAAGAGGAAGTTTCCAGAAGGACCCAGGAGGAAGAGGAGTGGTCAACTTCATCGAAGCTGCTGGGAGGTTACAGGAGACTGACTATTGACTTTGGGTCGTTGATGTCCTCAGTAAGAGCAACTTGAGTGGTGTGGTGGGTCGAAAACCCTATTGGCATGAGCTGAGGAATGAAGATGCAAGGTGGAGACAGTGAATTCTCTTTGGGAGAGTTTTGCTATAACAAAGAGCAAGGAAATGGGATGATAACAGAGGTCATGGGGTCAAAGGAAGTTGTTTTTTTAATTGAGGTGAAATTCACTTGAAATAAAATTAACCGTTTTAAAGCGAACAATTCAGCGGCACTTAGTATATTCACAGCGCTGTGCAACCACCGTCTCCTCCTAGTTCCAAAGCATTTTCATCACCCCAAAAGCAAACATCGTATCCATTACATAGTTGCTCCCCATTCACGCCCTCCCCCAGCCCAGGTAACCACTAATCTGCTTTCTGCCTCTATGGATTTGCCTGTTCTAGACATTTCACTTAAATGGAATCATAGAACGTGTGACCTTTTCTGTCTGGCTTTTTTCGCTTAGCATAATGGGTTCGGGGTTCTTCCACATTGTAACATTTCTCAGAACTTCATTCCTTTTTATGGCTGAATAATATTCCATCGTATGGATGGACCACAGTTGTGCATCCGGTCATTGGTTGATGGACATTTGGACTGTTTCCACCTTTGGCTATTGTGAATAGCACTGCTGTGAGCTTTCATGTACAGGTTTTCATTTGAACACCGGTTTTCAGTCATCTTGGGTATGTGCCCAGGAATGGAATTGCTGGGTCATATGGTAATTCTCTGTTTACTTTTTGAGAAACCGCCAACCTATTTCCCCCAGTGGCTAAACCAGTTTACATTCCCACTAGCAAGGGATGCGGGCTCCCATTTCTCCACCTCCTTGCCAACACTTCTTAGTTTTGTTTTTGTTTTTTAATTGGCGATATTAAGAAATTTTTGTGCATAGCTTGGAATAATCTAATAGAGAGGGAGAAATTGATGATGCTGAAGAGAAATGGGATAATTGCTGGAGGGAAATCCTTGAGAAGAGGAGAAGGATGTGCCCAAAAGACCCACAAACTTGGGAGATCCTCTAAAGTGAGAAGTCTGTTTGGATGCTTGGCTACCGAAAAGGAAAAAGAGAAACGCGTCTGACATCAAGGCCTGAGGCTCACTCTATGGTGAGGGGCTTTCCTACAGAGCAGTGTCAATAGAGGTTGGGGCAGGCAGAGCAGGTGGTCTTGCCTTAAACCTGTATTCTCATCCACTAGCTGTGGTGCTTGGGCAAGTCGGGTGACCTCTGGAGCCCCAGTATGCTCAGCCATAAAATAGAAACGACAAAACTTCAGTGGCTGCTCTGAGGATTAAATGAGGCTATATATAACCAGTGCCTGGCACACAGTAGGTGCTGACTGAATGTACGTCCCTTACATTGGCTCATCCTTCTGACTAGATTGTGAATTACTGTTAGCGATCATAAACACAAGTTTGTTTACTTGCCACACGGGAGGGCCAAAAAACTAGAAACACCAGGCTTGTGGTGAGGAAAGAGGTTGGGTATTAAAAGGCAGCCAGATGAGGAGATGGGAGTTAGAACTCAGATCCACCTCCTAGAAGGGAAAAAGGTAGGGGTTTTTATCTGGGCTTTTAGGTAGGGGTGGGGGAGCACGTGGCCTTGTGGGTTGGTGCCTTCCCACCAGCCTGTGTCTGGCCTTGAAGACTGAATTTCTTTTCCCTTGAATGTCTGGATTTTTCTGGTTAGTTTTCATCCGCAGCCTTGTGAGGCTGAATCTTGATGTCTGGACTTTGACTTCCCGGGAAAGACAGCTCACTCGTATACTAAGGAGCTCCAGAAAGACTGATTAGTCTTAAACAACGGTTGATTATGCTGAATATGCACAGCTGCATGTAGCAAAATTTATCTCAAAGGTTTTGCTCTAGGAATATGTTTAACTCCTTCCTTCTCGGTTTCATTACCAGGTAGAAGTGAAAGGGGTGCCCTTCTTGGCAGTCCTTTCAGTATCTAGCACTATGTTGGCCACATAGTAGGAGCTCCAAAAACATTTAAAAAGAATAAATAAACAGGAATGAAAATAATTATCAATAAAGAGATTTCCCAACGATATTAGCAACAGCAAATATTTGCTGGGTGCTTGCTACACAGCAGCCAGTTCCAAGGGCAGCATCTCATTTGAGCTGCACAACATGACCTTGAGATGAGCACTCCCTCATCCTCGCTTTGCAGAGAGGTCACTTGTCCAGTGGAACATGGCTGCAGCTAGGATTTGAGGTCTGACATCAAATCTCCTCATATTATACTGTCTATCTAGATGCTGCTAAGCCAGTGGTTGAATAATCCTGGCACCAGAGAAAGATCTGTTGTAGCTAAAAAGACGTCGAGAGAGAGACTGGGTGACTGCTTGGGGAAAAGAGGGGCTGGGGATCAGCTGGATAACGGTGGAAGATTTGAAAGGCTTGAAAAGCAATCCAGTGGCTCAGAGGCAGCCTCCGTCTTGGTGTGTTTGCATTTCCTTAAGCACTTCTAAAGTCTCCCGGGCATAGAAATGTCATCTGCAGGTTGTGTCAGACATCGGAGGTTGGTTGATAAAGACACCTTGGTGGCTGTCTTCCAGGGATCAGGTGATTTCTTTCTGCTCTCCAGGCCACCCCTTTGTCAACATCAAGGCACTGCGGAAATGGAAAAAGTTTTCCTGGTTGCTCTGAATCAATGTCAAGGAAATTGGATGGGCGTTTCCAGTTTTCCGAGAAGAGCCTGAGCCAGGCACAGCATCCCTTTCCCATGGTGGGTGGGTCTCCTGGGCGCCCATCTTTCTGTGCTCCACCCCAGAACCATCCCTCACTTCCCACACCCTCACCTCTCTCTGTGAACTGGTCAGGGGTTTTTGGTGCCCTGGGCTGAGCTTGGCTCTGGCCCGGGCTGCCCAGCTGCACTCTTGGGTCCCTCATCTCTTTCCCTCACATCTCTCTGCCACACCAGCCCTCAGTTATCTCAGGGTCTGGAGGAGAGAATGGGATTAGCATGTGAGCATCACCTTCAAGGTAGAGAGACAGGTCAGGAGGACAACGTGGCGTTCATAAAATACCAACAATGGCAGTGGCCATGGAGGCAGCATTTCCCAGTTGACGGCTCTCCTGTATTTCTCCATGGGCTGATTTTACTCCTTCATTGGCAGAGTAGCGAGAGGCAAGAGTTAACTCCTCGTCCTGCTCCTCCTGGCTTAGGACTCCATCAGCCTGCATTCCTTTGTGTCCTGCTTCACAACTCCAGCGTGTTATTTCACCTGACCCTCCTCCCAGTCCAGGCAGGTGGGTCTGGTCCTGGTCACATCCTCATGATAGCGGGAAGGGAGCAGACACCCAGGATGGTTAATCCGTTACTCAGCAGTGGCTTTGCCAGGACACCTCTGCCTTTGACTCCCCGTCCAGAACTCACTGACCTACGGCTGGGCACATTTTTAATACGTTGAGCTGGCCATCAATAATTCACTGTTAATCATTTATTACTCATTACAGAATGTTTACAGTAGCAGCTAGATGCTGTGTAATCATTAACACTGTTTTCTTTCACAATTTCCCAGATTTCTATTTGATTATATCAGGAGCTGATCTATCCATGAAGCATCTTCAGTCGGCTCTAGCAAACTGGGAGGGAAGCTCCAGGAAACTGGTAAGTTACGTTCACAGGCTTGGCTTGGCTTGGCTTCCGGGATGATTTCAAGAATTACTGAGGCTCTTACAGAACAGCTGGAACACGGGATTTGAAAACTGAGGGATTTAAAAATCAACTTGGTGAAGATTAGGTGAGAAAATGCACATAAAGTGCTTAATGTGGTGTCTGAGGAATGTTAACACAAAAATGAAACTGATTATGAGTGATTATGGCCATGGTTATTATTCCAAAGGCTGGTAATCTGGTAACTGTCCTCAACCCTCCCTCTCTTCCTTTCTTTCTCTCTTCTCTCTCTTTCTTTTAAAGCTGCTCTATTTTCTACATTCCTTTTCAATATCTTGTTTTACGGTTACTTTAGCTCCATGCCAAAGTCAGCAGAGAATTAACCCTGAAAATTAAGAAGAAAGTCACAGCCAAGTGGTAATCAGACTGAGAACTCGGGGACCAGGGAGTGTGTGGCGTTCCGTGTCCCGAGCTGTCAGCAGCGGCTGTTGGAACCTCTGGGCCTCGCTCAGCAGGGTGGACAGAGCACAGGGCAGCGACCCTGGGCACTTCCAGGAAGGGGCCTCGAGCTTGCAGGAGCCTGGTTTGGGACAAGAAGGCCACCTTGGCTGTGAGCCACCCTTTTGTGATGCACTGATGCATGCTGGGGCCTCGTCTCTGCTTTTGTCCTTTCACCCAACACACATTTATCAGTGATGGTTTTACTTCAGGCTTCTGGGTTCTGTCCGACCTCTGTGACAGATTGGTAAGGTAAAGATTCTTCTCCGAGCCCTGCTTGCTTTATTTCTGACATGGCTGGCAGCTCAGAGCTGGATTTGAACCCACTGGTCCTGCTGCCTGGGGTGCAAGCTGTCTGCACTCAGCCTTGCACTGCAAGGCGGGCAGCCTCCCACCATGATGTGATGTCTCAGGGATGATGAGGTCATTGTCAGCTCTGTGGTGGTCTCTGTAGAGTGAGGTGCACAATCTCAGACCTCTGCTGCAGATAGCTCCCCTGGGCAGTGGGTCCCTATTGACTTAGCAATCCTTGTCCTTCTTGGCCAGGGAGTAGAAGATCAGAGTTGGTTGTGGCCCCGGAGGAAGCAGAGCCCACCACCCACACATCCTCCTGGTGCCAGCAATGTTCCCCTTTGGCAACATGTTTTCTGGGAGGAAGGCACAAGTCTCTCCCTGTCCTTGACCTATGGCACACCTCCCCTCACCTTGCAACACGGAGGATTTACTCAGCCTGTCATTGGGATCTGCTGAGGCCGCTCTTCACCCCACCCCACCTTAATTATGGCACACGAAGATACTTAACGCACACTATGATTTCTTTACGTCCTGTTGTTGCCTTCTCTTCTCCTCCCACCCATTTCTGTGCCCACGGCTTCCTCCACATTTGTGACTGTTCTTCATCTGCTCTGACCTTGATTTCCAGTGGTTCCAGCTTTGGATGGGCAAGGTACGTCCTAACAAAAGTCACCCTTGGACCACAGCTTGAATCATGTCTTCTCTCAGTTGTTCCCCCATCTGAGCCCCCAGTGAAAGCTTGACATTCTCCTGTAACTGCCTTGTCATGCCTGTCAGTCACCCTCTGTCCCTCCCTCATGAACACCCAAAGCTAGCAAGACCCACCATCTTCCTTCTCCAGTACTGAGCCATGAAGGGACCTTGCACACCATCCTGCTACCTGACCAGGCTTGGTTTTTAAGGCTGTTCCCCGGATGTCCCTAGTGACTATTTCACAGCTTCGCAAACCTCCACACGCCACCCTTCTTCCCCTTCAGTTGATTGCTTGGCCTTGTGCTTCACTGAGGGGTACAGATGCCATTCGACAGAAGTCTCTCATTTCTCCACTTCCGTATCTGCAGTCCTAGTCATCCTTTTCCTACATTCCGTCCTTTGATCCACACCCCACCGCCTGCTCTCTTCTCTGCTCCTCCCCTCTGCCAGTGTTCTGCTCTTCCAGACGTTCCAGGCTCTCCCCAACCACTCAACTTAAATCGCTCTCATTACTCTTACCAATGGCCTCCATGTGGCCACATGTTGTGGACACTCTTCATTCCTCTTACTTGACCCGTGAGCCATATTCAACACAGCTGACCACTCACTTCCTCTGAAAGTTCTTGTCTTGCCATTGCTAACAGCTTGCTCTCTCTGTTTTCTCCAACTCAGTCTCCATTGCCATTTTAATCCCCTGTCTGCTCTTTCTGTGTTGGAGTTCCCTAGGAATCTTCTCCCTCTATGCTTTCTCCCTGGGTGGTCTTACCTAATCCCATGGTTTTATTACCATTAATTTATCCTGAGCTCAGACCGCTTCTCAAACACCACTCTCATTTCCAAATGCCCCATTGGTATTTGCACTTGGATGTCACACAAACATCTTGAGCTCCACACTTAAACAGAACTCTCCATTTCCTGCCACCCCAACATCTGTTACCTTCTGAGTCTTCTCCAGCTCAGGGAATGATAGTTGCCATTAATTACACACCAGGGACTTGCCAGGCATCTCCCAAGTCCTTTTATATACATTCTCCCTTATCTAACAATCGTGATCTGAGAGGATCATGACCATCATTAACTGACTGATGAGGAAACAGACCCAGAAGTTAAGTAACTTGTCCTCGCTCACAACTGCAAAACCCAGGATTAGGACCCAAGTTTCTGACTCCAATAGCCTTGCTCCTTCCACTCTGCTCATGTCCTTTCAAATCCTGGCTCTTGCCTGATGGTTTGGAGCCCATCTTCATCCTTAGGGATCCGTAGGGCCAGCATGTTGCATAACTGCAGGGGGACATTTACAGTGTCATCTGTGTGAATGACTCTCTCTGGAGTTGTATGGTGACAGCCATTCACATAAACTAGAATGGGAATGCAGCCCCTGGAAGTGGGCAAGTGGTGGCCATGGATACCGTCATTCTGGCCTCCTCTCTCCCATCCTGTCCCATCTGATCCCATTCTCACTCCTCTTTTCCTGCCCACCCCACCCATTCCGTTTTCTATACACCTCTCGGGCCAGGCACTCTGTCAGATTCTGTGGACACAGAGATGGATCAGCTGTGGCCCCCAAGTGTGAGGAGTGAATACACTCCTCAGAGTTCTCCTCAGAAAGTGAATACACTCAGAGTTCTCCAGAGGAACAGAACCAGTAGGATGTATAACTATATAATAGATATGTGTAGATATAAATATAGACATAGATGTAGATATAGATAGAAAGTGAGGGAGAGAGAGAAATTCTAAGGAGTTGGCTCATGCGATTGTGGGGGCTGGCAAGCTCAAAACCCATATGGTGAGCCAGCAGGCTAGAAATTCCCGTAAGAGTTGATGTTGCAGTCTTGGTCTGAAGTCTGGAAACTCAGACCGAATTTCTATGTTTCTCTCTTGAGGCCAAATTCCTTCCTCTTCAAGGTACCTCAGTCTTTGCGCTTAAGGCCTTCAACTGACTGAATGAGGCCCACTCCCATTATGGAGTGTCACTGCTTTACTTAAAGTCAACTGATTGTAAATCTTAATTGTATATCAAACCCACCAGCAACATCTAGCCTGTTCTCTAGGTGTTCAACCAAACAACTGAGCGCCATGGCCTTGCCAAGTCAACACGTAACATGAACCATTGGGAGGAGGTCTCAGTCACTCGTGAGGACACAGACAAGAGAAGGGTCAGCCTGTACAGTTTTCTTCCTGCTAGGGCTAATGGGACATGCTAGGGTACGTGCACAGGAGGAAGTGATTCAGATTTTCCAGAAGGAACAGACAGATGGGCAGAGGAGGTGGGCCTGGAGGGTGAGACAGGGGAAGGAGGGAAAGCATTCTAGGCCAAGGGAACAGCCCAAGAAACAGCAAGAGAGGCCTGAAAACAGAGGTCCAGCGTGCTGGAGTGTCCCTGGGTGTGTGCTGGGACGAGACAGGTGGGGTCTCTCAGTGGCGGGCCTTGAATGTCCCACTCAAGTGTTGGCCACAGCAGCTCCCCAGTCTTCTTGTCAGGCCAGCTCAAATGACTTCTGCACCTCAGAGCCATCATGTTACAAAACTATGTATTCTTCCAGAATTGAATGTTTTTAGGTCTACTTGAGAACGTAAGGGCTTACTTCTTCAAAAAAAATTTGTTTAAAGTAATTTTAAAAACTTGTTTTTCTAGTTGTAAATTTTTTTTTTCTTAGTCTACAAAATTGGAGAACTACAGGCAAACGTATCAGATGAAAGGTGGCTGAAATGCCACAGTCAAATGGTAACTGCTGTTCTGTGTCGCTGCTTCCAGGCAATCTATTTTCTGTGCACATAAGCATGTGACTGTCCTCTGCTCATCTCCACGGCCCCTCCCCACTGCTCTCCCATCCTGCACTGGGCCAGCCCGCTCACCTGTACACCTGTACCTGTACGCAGTCTGCACACTCTGCCTCAATTGTCTCTTCTCCTAGAACATAAGCTCCACGAGGGCGGGGCAAGTGCCGTCTTGCTCAGGATTGCCTCCTCTTAACCTAGACACTAGGAGCTTAATAAAGAATTGTTGAATAAATAATATATAAACATTTTATTTTAAATTTAATTTTAAATTTAAAAAACACATAGGCATAGTTTAAGTACATAAATTGTTTAATCCTGTGACTCTATAAGTACACCTTTCTTTTTCCTGAGGAAGATTCACCCTGAGCTAACATCCGTGCCAATCTTCCTCTATTTTGTATGAGGGTCACTGCCACAGCATGGCTGCCGATAATCGTGTAGGCCCATGCCTGGGAACCGAACCTGGGCCGCAAAGTGGAGTGCACTGAAATTAACCACTAGGCCACAGGGCCGGCCCATAGAAGTACATCTATTTTTAATGCTGACTAATATATATTTTTTATATGTCTTCCTCTTTTTGTCAAGTAAGAATTCTAAACATTTTCCCATGACATTAAATGTCCCCCTTTAATGTAAGTCTTTAAGCACTGCATGAGTTTCCATCATACGGATGTACCATAATTTATCTACACTTTCTGGTAAGATATTCTTTCCTATTGTGAATACTGTTTTTCTAACATGAAAAATGCTGTAATGACAATCTCAGGCTTAAATCTTTCTGTGCATTTTTATTACTGCTTTCAGCTAACTTCTTATAAATGGAGTTTATAAATGGAGCCATTTATAAATGGAGTAGTTGGGCCTAAATATTTTTATGGCTCTAGAAACATATTTCCAAACTGCAGAAAAGCTGTACAGTTTTCTCCTTCTGTCACACCATTGACTCTGCTTACAATTTTGGTAATAGTTTCCAGATTGATGGGGACATTAGTGCTTCATTTTAATTTGTACTGCTTTTGCTTTTATTTTCACATCTTGGGGACAGAAACTCTAGTGTTTCCAAGATGTACCCCCACCCTAAGAATGACTTTCTGATGAGAATCTTCTGGAAAGGGGCCTGTATTTAATAAGCAATGCAGCAAGTGTGGGAAACAGATGTAGTCCAACCCAACCATCTCACAATAGAGAAACTGAGGCCAGAGTAGAGGAAGGAGGTGCCCAGGTCTCCAGGGGGAGCCGGGGTCCCCCATCCTGGTGTCCTCGTCAGGGCCCCTCACCTGTTCGGGGCCACCTCCCCTGAGTTACCCATCTGCGACATCAGGTGTCTAATGACTTCCTCCTTTTTTCTCAGGAACAAAGAAGCCCAGCCCAAAATCTGAAAAAGAAACCATGCAGCTCAGTGAAAAGGACCCAGCAGATAGCCAAGAAAGCGATTTGGTGAAAAAGAAATCGGTCAGTCCTGGATTCCTTGTCTCTCCCTTATACGCCAGGGCGGTCCCTCCTGGGAAGTGGGGGTGAAGGTGAGGTCAGGCGGAGGAGAGTGAGCAGAGGCTGGGAGCACAGTTATGTGGGAAGGAGCCGTGAAGTCGGAAAGTGTGTGCGATGAGGCGCAGGCCACTGATGGCACTGTACTTTGTTGATAATACTATCTGCTGGTGACCTTCTGGACAGGGGGGTGATGTCTCCATACCAAAGGTCATTTTCAGGAGGGGACATTGATATTGAAGGTAATGATGTCATCATCCTTAAGGATACACTGAGACCCATCCTCCACCCCACCACAAGGCCCAGTTCAGGTGCCCCCTCCTCCTGGAAGTCCTCAGCACTTACAAACACTCTCTCCCCCCTTGGGACTCCTTGAACCCTCCCTTTAAGCCAAATTAAAAAATCAATAGCCAGACAGCACCCGCTCTGTGCTGGACCTTTACATGGGTCTCTCATTTGGTTCTCTTGGCCACACCATGGTGAAGGCATCACTCCCCTCATTTTACAGGCAGGGAACTGAGGCTCAGAGAAGGCTGAAGCCACTCATCAAGGCTACATAGCCAATTGCAGGTGCAACTGGTCTGGAACCCTGGCCCCTCTATGCCTTGTCTCCTGTGATGGGTATGGAAGCAACCAGGACTCAGAAGAAGATATGTCCATATTTGTAATTAACCTTTATTTATCAGGACAAAGAGCAACACAAGTGTATCCACTAAATTGCCAGGGACATCTGAAATTAGCAGGCTGAGCTTCATTATCCCCATCTCACAGGTGGGAATGGAGTTTCAGGGAGGCCAAGCCACCTGCCTCAGGTCATCCGGGGACACGGCGGAATCATGTTAAATAGAGAGCGATTCCCTGTATATCCTTCTTGGTGTCTATATTAGCTTAAGTCAAGGCTCCACCGTCCAGGCATTCGGTCTGATGAAGAAAGAGGTGTAGTCATCTCAAACCTTCTGCTTAAATGATACTCGACAGAAACTCCCCTTTTTTCCTACCCTTTCCTGGCAGAAAATTTTCATCTTGTTCAAGCCAAATTTCTAGCCTCAGCAAATCATCCAGAGGACAGTTTGAGTTCAGTGCCAGAAGGATCTACCGGGCCCCTCCCTGAGCCAGTGGGGAGGAAGGCCCTGGGAAAGCAGAGATGCTCAGGACACGGTGTGAGTCTGCTCGGCTGCCGTGAAAAGCACCACAGACAACAGGAATTTATTATCTCACAGTCCTGGAAGTTAGAAGTCCAAGATCAAGGTGTCGGCAGAGTTGGTTTCTTCTGAGGCATCTCTCCTTGGCTTGTAGACGGCTGTCTTCTCGCTGTGACTTCGCATCTGTGTGTGTCTGTGTCCTAATGTCCGCTTCCTATGAGGACTCCAGCCATACTGGGTTAGGATCTCCTCGTGATCTCATTTTACTTTAATCTCCTCTTTAAAGGCCCTATCTCCAAATGCAGTCACATTTGGAGGTATCAGGGGTAAAGCTTCAACATATGGATGTTGGGGGGCACAGTTCACCTCATAACAGACACACACAGTCCCTGCCCTCGGCGAGCTCCTCTCCAGAGGGGAAGGCACACACGAGGGCAGACGCTTGCAAGAAAGCGATCAGAGCGGGCGCAGCTGTGAGCAGCACGTGGCACACAGGAGCGGGGCAGAGAGAGGTCCAGGGAGGATTCTGGGGGCTCAGCGGGGGAGAGCTGAGTACTGAACGACGGGCAAAGTTGTTGTAGGGAGCCAGAGGGAAGAGCCTGAGCAAGGGCCAGGAGAGCCTGCAGGAGGAGGCTCTCACTTGATGGATGCCGATGAGTGGGTGTCTGCATGAGGAATGAGTATCAGAACAGGTGAAAGGCCCCAGCACCCTAGGAATGTTTGTTTATGACCACGTCCTTGATAGAGCTAATTTTCTTACAATCTGCCTGAGAGCATGGGCCACAGGCCATGTGGAATGGGGGGATGGCGCTGGACTTGGAGACGGACAAGTCCACCTCTCCTTGAACTTCAGTTCTTCCCCGTAACATCAGCCTAGTGGGCCCCTCATAGAGCTGCTGGGGGGATTGGTGATATCTTGGGTGTGAACACTTGGCCAAGGGCAAAGAGGTGTAGACATGTACTGTGCAACAAAGGTAGGAGGGTGCTTTGGGTAACGGGGAGCCCTGGCCAGCTGCCCTCTGGTTCACAGAGCCACACCACACCACGTTCTTCACAGAGGGCCAGAACTTGAGCACTGGCATGGGCCTTAGCAATTGTCCCATGACATCAACCTGGCCCCAGACCTCTCCTTTTACTGCTGAGGACAGTGTCTTCCCGAGGGGAGCAAATCTTTCTACACAGAGTCCTCCCGATGGCATTTATTTAGAAAAGGATGAAAGTATTTGGGTCAAAAAATAGCACATTATCTGGGAACAAGGTGATTTGAAGAAAAATAATGAATATTCATCATACGCTTGCCATATGCCGGTGCTGTCCTGGTTTCCAGGGTTCTATGCGTTTTTCATGTATAAACTCATTGAATCTTCTCAACAAGTCTGTGAGGCGGTGGTGCTGTTATCATGCCCACTAATCAGATGGGGACGCTGTGCCCAGAGAGGCCGAATAACTTGCCCAAGAGCTCACAGGTTGTAAGCGGCTGGGCAGAGACCCACACCCAGGCAGCATGGCGCCAGCGTCTGGGTTTTGCAACGCTGAGCTGTGGCGAAGTGAAGGGACAGCTCCCATCACCTTTGCCGAGGCTTTCAGAGAGTCAAGCTGTGTATCTTGTCACCTTAGGAAGCCCTGGGGACACCACTGGGGACTGGAGATCACGCATCTGCCTGAAGGAAGAAAGTGCAGTTAATTTGATGGCCGGGCTTTCTAAATAGCCAGAGCACTGGCCTGGAACTTGAGCCAGGACAGCTGGGTTCTACTCTCAGCTGTGTGACTCTGGGCAAGTCGCTGCTCACCCCTGAGCCAGTTTGTTGGCAGCCTGGGGAGAGGATTTACAGACACCTGGCTCCACCAATAAGAGGAACTCTTCAGGCCAAGTTCCGCCTCCAGGCCACCAGAGAGAAAGGGAGTGTGCCCTGCAAGTTTCTCATGCTCTAGTGACTTGGGTCCAGTCCCGGGTTCTGGCAGAGCCCCTGGTGCTGGGCAGGCCCAGGAGCAGCCCCTCTGGCTTCTGCCCTCAGAGCTCAAATTCAGCAGGACTTTGGGTCAGGGAAGTTGAGGCAGCAGAGGTGGGCAGGGGCAGCTCCACAGGGCCCCACGCCCACACGCAGGGTACACCGCTGGGCCTCGGGCCAGTGTGGCCTGTTGACATGCTGAGCTTGGCTGGCAGGGCCCTTAATGCTTTTTGACCTTGGAAGCCTTCTCAGCCCAGGGACTCCCCAGACACCAGGGACCCAGCACCCTCCCTCCCACTTTACACCCAGCTGCACCTTTGTGTGGACTGCCTAGGTCCTGGCGCCTTTTGAGATGAAGAATATAAAGTCCCCATCAGGACACACGGGGTGGTCCTCAATCCACGGGGAAGCAGCTGTCTCTTCCCCTCCCACACGTTAGGCCCCAACCAACCACGCTCAATTATTTTGTTTCCCCACATACCCCAGGGCGTCCATGCCTGCAGGCCCAGGCTGAGCAGCCTCCCATCCCACGCCCTTCTCTGCCCGCATATTCCCTGGGTTTACACATTGTTTAAGAATCTGCTCAGGAATCACCTCTTCCAGAAAGTCTTCCTTGATCCAGCCTCAGGTTGGCTCGGTACCTTCTCCATGTTTTCCTGGGGAAGCCTCGGTCATTGCACGTCAGGTCGTAATCAAGAGCTTCCATGTGCTCTGGACCACAGCTCCGTGAGGTGAGGGTGCCAATCGCTCACTGGCTGAAAAACAACTCCAGGAAGAGCCAACTCTCCGAGAGGTATCCATGCATGATTAATACACAGAGTGGTGATTGCACTGAGTGACGCGTGTGCTCAGTAAGTAACCAGCCTCATTACAGAGGGTTGGCTTTTCCTTCTGCAAGTTTTGGTTCCCCCTTGAGCAGCATTTTTTCTGCCATTGTGCATCTCCGGGCTGGATGTTTGAACGTGCACTTGACGTTCCACGCTCCCGGCACTTCTGTAATACTCCACACCTTTTATTTCAATGTGTGCTTTCCATTAAACCGAGTTTGCTGGCTTCTTGTCTCTTTTTTGTGGACTGGAGGGCTGCCCTGGCCTCTTAGGCGTTCTGCATTCCCCAAACTCGCCTTTGCCCGGCCAGCCTCCAAACCTGCTCTCTGCCTCTGGGAGCAAATGGCCGAGGCAGCCTGTCCTAGACACGAGTGAAGGTGCCGCTCTGACATCTGGGGCAAATCGGCCATGCAGCGATTGATTCTCATGACGTGCTAGTGAGCATGAGGGGTCTTGCCTCCCTAATCCTTCCCTGAGCCAGCCCGGGGCGGGCAGTAGGAGGTGCTCCCTCAGCCAGTGCTGCATGAGCGGGACAGAGGAAGCACTGAGTGGCAGATTCTTTTTCTTCCAAACCCACAGCCTCCTCATTTGTTCTAGAGCCTCAGGGCAGCCCACGTCCATCTGCAACAGGCTGCTCTGGGCCGTGTGTCTTCTATTTCAGCCTCGGAATCACACTGCAGTCAGTCAGGGCGGGACCAGTCTCCCATTTTGCACTTGTGAACCAGTAGCTCAGAGAAGCAAAGTGACTTGCCTGAGGACACATAGTTAAAAAGCAGTGGAGTCAGGGCTGGAACCCTGCCAGGCTTCTTCTGCGAAGTCAGTGACCTTTGGGACACTTGGCCCGGGGTTATGCCAGTTGCTCCATTCCCTGCGTTGGCCTTGTTAAGAGGGAAAATAAAAAGATGCCAAAGGAAAAATCCACACCCCGGGTGGTGATTCCTCAGAAGACGAGTTTCCCTTTAAGACTCTTCAGTTGCTGTTACGACTTGGGAACAGGGAAAAGAAAACAAAACAGAGAACATTGCCCAACTTCCCGTTCAGAGGAGAGAAAATTGCCACATTTCCTGTTGGGGTGTTCCCACCCTCTGCTCCTCATTCAGGGAGATGCTCCGGCAGAGCCCAGCTGGAGGCTCTGCGGGGGCCCAGTCGCCAGCAGCAAGGGCCATCGGGGCCAGCGTTCGGGGAAACAGAGCATGGATTCCTGGGAACTGAGCTTGGCTCCCCTCCCATGCAGCCCGAGCTGCCCGGGGCCTCCCGAGGGTGCCTGCCCGAGCAGCGGGACACTGGGCGGGAGCAGAAGAAAGGTAACTACCATCACCAGCCTCTGTGCCAACCACAGGACCTCTGTGCTTGAAAGGCTGTGGCTTTGCTCAGGGACCCCTGCATGTGGGTCCTGCATCCTGGTCCCTGTGACCCAGCTCTGGCATCCCACCTCTCGAGCCGCAGTTTCCTGGGCTGACAGCATCTTCTGGCAGCGTAGTGGTGCTCATGTGATGAGGCCACAGCAGAGAACTACCTCGCACAGGCTGGGCAGCACTCCCTTCCTCCCTGCCTGCCCCCTGCCAGCGGGCACCCTCTGTTACGGCACCAGGTTCATTTTTGCCCGCCGCCCGCAAAGCCAAACACTGGGACAACGAGATTGTAGCAGAGAGAGGGTTTAATCACAAGGCAGCCATGTGAGGAAGCGAGAGCATGAGCCTCAAATTCGCTTCCTGGAAAACAGGGACTCAGGGATATCTATGGGATGGGGCAAGGTGGTCTGAAATGTGGAGAGAGGTGACTGGAGGTGAGAGAGGTGAGGTAATCGATGATCCGTGCAGGTGTAGTCAGACTCCATGCCTCTTCACAGGACCCATGTTCACCAAATGGCGGCATCAGCATGATCTGAGGGTGGAGTTTTTAGCCTCTTGACATCAAAAGGTCACTCATCAGACATCTGCGTGGGCCCGGTTGATGAGTTGGTGGTCTCAACCGGCCTGAAGTGGACAAGGGGTTCTAATTCCTGAGAAACAGCTCACACACCCATTTCCATGGTGACCCAGGCTCCAGGGTGACGTTATCTATAGGAGCCTAGTGGGAGTCAGATAGCATATTGCCTAAGCAGCATAGTTAACGATGGGTGGGTTAAACAGCTAAAAGCTAGAATCAGTAATTGCAAAAAGGAAAAAACTAACGTTACTAGCTACTTAATCATCACTGGCTAACTGCCAGTTTCACCTCTGCCCCTGGGGCCAGAGGTGAGAGGTGGTGGGCACCGGCAGGCCATGCAGGGGCAGGGGGCTCCAGGGAGATGACTCCCACCTGCTCTTCTCTGCCTTCTGATGGATGCGGACAAGGGAAGAATGATGGGGCTGGGAGTGAGGGGAGGCCTCACTCACTCCCAGTATCAGGAGGAGTGACATCTAAGACCTGGAGGATGAGTTTGAGGACAAAAGGCGGTGGAGAACGGGCATTCTGTCCAAAATGTGATTCTGTTCCATGAATGAATCCCATTCAGCTCAGGCTCCTCTTACTGCAGAAAAATATTGTGGCCTCACAAGTGGCAACGTCCATCCCCAGGGCCTAAAAATCCTTCCTCTCGCCTCCATCCGATCACCAGCATCTACTGAAAGGAAGACCCCCGCCCTCAAAAAGTAAGACCCCACCCATTGTCCAGCCTCTGCTGCTGACATTCACGGGCACCTACCGCAGGACAGGCGAGGACCTTACCTGGTTTAACTCCTTTCTTCTGCATAATATGCTACGAGGTGGGGTCCACTGTCATCCCCGTTTTGCAGATGCAGGCAGATTCACAGAGCAGCTCCGTAACTGGCCCAAGGGTTACACAGTCGGAAGAGACAGACCTGGAGGTCAGATGGAGTTGAATCAAAGAGTTAAACGTAAAAACGAGGAGGTGGAGCTTTCGGAGGAGACGCTGGCAATGGGTCTTAGATAACAGAAGTGTCTAGAAGGGAGCATTTCAGGTAGACAATAGTCACTCGGGCCATGTCAAGAGAGACCTTGGCATGAAACTTAGGCAACGGCCATTCTGTATGGCTAGGCAGAGGGAGTGGAAAGAGAAAACAAAGAGTAAACACCCTCTCTGAACACTTGGCACCGGGATGCAACACTCTGAACATCCTCATCCAGCATCATACTGACTTCTCAACAACTTCTGCAGCCGGGGCTACTATTTACATCCTGTTGCACAGCTGCACAAGCTGAGACCCAGAAAGGTCAAGACACCAGCTCAGGCTCCCCCAGCTGTGTGGTGGAGCCGTCTGGCCTGGAGCCCATGCTGGAGAAGGCTACGGAGCTGGGTGGGGCATGGAATTGGCTATTGGGTCCTGCTTCCCCTTCCAAACAGTATTGACTGACACAGTTCCCTGAGCTGTGGACTCATCTCTCTTGTTTCCTGCTGTACCCCCAGAGCTCTGTTAGGGCCTGGTACCTGGAGCACACACACACACACACACACACAGACACACACATTAAATGATGGCAGAGAAAGAATGCCTTCCAAGAGCACTGGGTCCCCTCCATCTGGAGAGCGGCCCACATTTCCCTGGCCAGCCTAGGAAAGTAGGCTTTCCTCCTCTAGCTCCTGCCAGCTGGTCAGCCTTTGCCAAGGGGCCCAGATGTTTCTGCTCCAGGTCTCTTTGTGGCTGTGGCCATCCTTGGATGGAGCCACAGGACAGGATTACATGGAGGTAAATGCCTTGTTCTCCTGGTCAAGCTGTGTCTCTCTCTGTCTGTAGGTCCTTGTCCAGAGGTGCTCATACTGGCCTGTAGATTGATACCCCAGCAGGGAACAGTATCTTCATAGGTGTGTGAGCGTGTGTGTGTGTGAGTGTGTGTGTGTGTGGTAGTGTGGCTGTCGGCAGCCTCAGGACAACTGCTTCCAGGTGAAGAGGCAGCGGGGGAGAGGCAGTGTGGTGCAGTGGTGACTACCGAGTGCTGGAGCCAGCCCACCTGGGCTCCAGCCCCCCATGCCAGACAGCACTAGGGACAGCCCTGTGCCTTTGTTTCCTCACCTGTAAAATCCGGATAAAATAGCCCTGATCCGAGCATTCCATGAGGTAATACGCAGAAAGCGCTCAGAACAACGCCTGGCCCGTAGCTCTTCCGAAGTGCCAGCTGCTACTGTTGGCAACGTAGGCGAGCTTTGATTTTGCTCCCATATGGGTCAGAAACTGGGCAAATTCGACTAAAATAAATGAGTAGCAGTTTACAGAGCCCCTGCTAAGGATGTCAGGTCTGCGTCTGAAGGATCCTTGCGCAGCCGGGCGAGGAGGCCGGTGGTGGGGCTGCCCTGGGGTTCCCGGGACGGCCTCCAGATGCGTCCCGCGGGGCCTTGGCGCTGCGCCCGGGGGCCGGGTCTGACGTGCTGTCCTCTCCCTTCCCAGGACTGGTCCTGCTCGCTCATCGTGGCCTCGCTCGTGGGCGCCTTCGGCTCCTCCTTCCTCTACGGGTACAACCTCTCGGTGGTGAACGCCCCGGCTCCGGTGAGTGCCCGCGGCCTCCGATGCCCCCGGCAGAGGGCGCTGCGGCGACGCGGAAAGCTTCAGGTGTTACCGGCTGGCCCGGGATGGTACCCGATTCTGCACCTTCCCAGGCCCCTTCCTGGCCAGACCTTCGCTGGACACTGGGGAGAGAGGAGGGACAGAGGGAGTGAGACCAGCCCCCGCCCTTGAGGGTGGCTGGGAGATACAAAAATAGACGGTGATGGCACTGTGGGAGGTCAGTTCCTTATGGCTGGAGTGTGGGTGTCCTGGGAGAGTGTAGGCAGAGGAGGGGGCCTCTGGAGGTCCCGGGCTGATCCTGAGGGTCTTATTTCAGGCCGGGGAGCACAGAGGAGCCACGGAGGGACCTTATGCATAGAAACGTTTTATTTTTTAGAGTAGTTCACAGCAAAATTGAGCAGAAAGTACAGAGAATTCCCATATACCATTTGTCCTCATACATGCACAGCCTCCCCCACTATCAATGTCCTGCACCAGAGTGGTATTTTTGTCGTAATCGATGAACCTACCTTGACAAATGTTAACACCCAAAGTCCGCAGTTAACATTAGGGTTCGCTCTTGGAGTTGTGTATTCTATGAGTTTTGGCAAATGTGTAATGACATGTATGCACCACTGCAGTATCTTTCAAAATAGTTCCACTGCCCTAAAAATCCTCTGTGCTCCACCTGTTCGTCCCTCCCTCCCCACTGACCCCCAGCAACCACTGACCTTTTTACTGTCTCCATAGTTCTGCTTTTTCCAGAATGTCACATAGTTGGAATCATGGTCCTCTTTCACTTAGTCATATGCATTAAAGTGTTTTTTCATAGCTTCAAAGCTCATTTGGTTTTGTTTGTTTGTTTGTTTGTTTTTTCTCCCCAAAGCCCCAGTACCTAGGTGTATATTCTAGTCGTAGGTCATTCTAGTTCTTCTATGTGGGATGCTGCCACAGCATGGCTTGATGAGTGGTGTGTAGGTCTGTGCCCGGGATCCAAACTGATGAACCCCAGGCGGCCAAAGCAGAGCGAGTGAACTTAACCACTCGGCCATGGGGCCGGCCTTCCTCATTTGTTTTAACGCTGAATAATATTCCATTGTCTGGATGACCAGAGTTTACTTAGCCACTCACCTACTGAAGGACCTCTTGAGTGCATCTAAGTTTTGGCAATTATGAATAAAGTTTCTATAAACACATGTGCAGGTTTTTGTGTGGACATACAGTTCATTTGGGTGAGTACCAAGGAGCCTGATTGCTGGGTCGGATGGGAAGAGCTGTTTAGTTTTGTAAGAAACTGACAGACTGTCTTCCTGAGAGGCTGTAGCGTCTTGCATTCCCTCCAGCAGTGAGGGAGAGCTCCTGCTGCTCCACAGCCTTGCCAGCATTCGATGTGGTCAGTGTTTGGGATTTTGGACGTGCTGATAGGTGTGTAGTGGTATCTTGTTTTAATTTGCAATTCCCTAATGACATGTGATGTTGAATATATTTTCAAATACTTACTTGCCATCCGTATATCTTCTCTAGTGAGGTGTCTGTTAGGTCTTTTGCCCATTTTTTTTTTATTGAGTTAATGATAAGTTACAATCTTGTGAAATTTCAGTTGTACATTAATGTTTGTCAGTCATGTTGTAGGTGCACCCCTTGACCCTTTGTGCCCGACCCCCACCCCACCTTTCCCCTGGTATCCACTAACCTGTTCTCTTTGTCCACATTTTTAAATTCCTCATATGAGTGGAGTCATACAGAGATTATCCTTCTCTAGCTGGCTTATTTCACTTAACATAATTCCCTCAAGGTCCATCCATGTTGTTGCAAATGGGACGATTTTGTTCTGTTTTGCAGCTGAGTAGTATTGCATTGTATATATATACCACATCTTCTTTATTCATTCATCTGTTGATGGGCACTTAGGTTGCTTCCATGTTCTTTTGCCCGCTTTTAAATCAGATTGTTCATGTTCTTATTGGTGAGTTTTAGGAGTTCTTTGTATATTTTGGATCACGGCCTTTTATCAGCTGTGTTTTTTGCAAATATTTTCTCCCAATCTGTGGCTTGACTTCTGATTCTCTTGATGTTGTCTTTCACAGAGCAGAAGTTTTTAATTTTAATGAAGTCCAACTTATCGATTATTTCTTTCATGGGTCGTGCCTTCAGTATTATATCTAAAAAGTCACCGCCATGCCCAAGGTCCTCTAGATATTCTCCTGTGTTATCTTTTAGGCGTTTCATAGTTTTGTGTTTTACATTTATGTCTGTGATCCATTTTGAGTTAATTTTTATGACGGGTATAAGATCTGGGTCTGGATTCTCTCTCTTTTTTTTTGCATGTGGATGACTATTATTCCAGCACCATTTGTTTAAAAGACTAATCTTTGCGCCATTATTTATATTGCCTTTGTGCTTTTGTTAAGGATCAGTTGACTATATTTATGTGCGCCTATTTCTGGGCTCTCTGTTCCATTCCGTTGATCTAGTTGTCTCTTCTTTCACCAGTGCTGCACTTTCTTGACTGCCGGAGCTTTATAGCAAGTCTTGAAGCAGACCGGCAGGCTTGGAGCCCCGTTTCGTGCTTTGCCTGAAGGTGTGTCACAGGCCCTAATGCTTTGTGTTTGACTCATGTTGCTCCTTAGAAACAGAGAGGGCTAAATAGGCAGTACATCCTCAGTGGCCTGCTCTGTGTGTTCCCCTTGCTTGTGTCATGTGGGTAGGTGCTGGAGTAGAGAGATGAACAGGACACAGGTCCCTGTCCCAGACCAGCAGCAGTGACACATGTCCAGGACATGTTGTGCAGAGATACAAACACAGGCCTGTGGAAGGACTTGATTCTACCTGGGAAGGTCAGGGGCCCTTGCTGGGGCTTGAGAGAGAGCAGGGGCCTTTCTGGGAATGGTCTAGATTGTGGGGTCCAAAGGGTGGAAAGGGGCTCCAGGGCCAGCTCGAGGAGGGTCTCAGGGGCCAGAACAGGAGCACAAGCCAGCTCTGGCCAGCCTACGAGCACCGGAGGGGGACTGAGGGCCAAGTCTCGGCGGGGGAGGCCCTCCCAGGGTGGAAACCGCCTCGAGCTGGAGCCTCCATGCAAATCCCACACGGGCGCCTCTGCAGACGGGTAGTAACCAGTGCCTTGTGAAGTGGCGGTGAGAAATAAAGGCGGCCTGATGTTGGAGGAGCTCAGCCAGGTGTGTAGTGATCACTCAGAATTCTTTTCCCCTTGCAGTGAGCGTAGGGATGGGTGAGCGAGGCAGCCTCAGGGTCCAGGAGACCGGGAAGAGATGGCGGGAAGAGGCTGCTGTGGGAGGGTGCTGATGAAGATAAGCCACAGGTGGACACCGACCCATGGGAAGGGCGGCTGGCTTAGCAGTGATGCAGGGCCCGGGGCAGCTTCAGCTCTTGAGTGGTGGGATCGTCAGGATCCAGGTGGTGGCAGGAGCACAGAGGGACCACTGGCCGAGGCAGAACTTCACTGTTTGAACAACCCGTGCGGCAGCCGACATTGGCCCTGAGTGCCCCCCAGCGGCAACCTGACAACGGGGCTTCTCTCTCCTCAGATATCTGGAAACTTTCTGGAACGCCGATAACGAAAATAACTCCCCTGTGGGCACGGGTAGTGCTTGCTCATGTCAGGGATGGTTTGTAGGGCGTCGGATTTAATCCTCTTTGCGATTCTGTGAGGGACCCATAACTAACCCGTTTCCTAGACGGGGAAGCTGAGGCCAGGGGAGTTAATGTGTCCAAGTTCCTGGGACGGGTTGGGGGCCCTTTAGCATTCGCTCCCTAAATTTCCACTGTTTTCTTCTCAACATGGTCGCTCTAAGTGAATGTCCATGTTGTCCACCCTGCTTTCAAAGAACCCGTGGAATCTGACTCCGGGTCCTGCCGCATCCGGAGGAGAACTCCCGTGTGTCCTGTGCGTCCATGCAGGGTCCTCGACCCACTTTGGCCGAGGGGCTGTGAGCAGAAGTGATTATAAGCCGCTTGAGGCCTGGCTCTGGAAGATATTCCAGAAGGTTCTTTAGTTCTCTCTTCCCCCAGATGGCATAGGTACAAGATAGCAGAGAACTGTCTGATGTGCACTAGGTGTGGCATGAGCTAGAAAGAAATCTTTACTGTCTTTGGCCATTGAATCTTGAGGGTTTCTGTGCTGTGGTGGTGCTCTGGTCACATCACCACGACCCCAGCAGCCACCACCGAGTCAGTGTCTAGTCTGGCCCACTGTGGGGTCTTCTGACTGGTTTTCTTGTTTCTACTCTGGCTCCTACAGTTTATTTTCACCCAAAGGCCAGGGGCATCCTTTACAAAGTAAGGCAGTGTATTGTGCCTCTGCTAGAACTCCCCACGGCTGCCCATCGCCCTGGAAAACAACCCATACCGCCACGGCCTACAAGCCCAGGGCATCTGGCACCTAGTGGCCGCGCTGCTGTCCTCACCAGCGCTTTCCCCCTCACTCTCTCATTTCCATCCGCTCGGCCTCCCGCCCCCACTGCTGCTCCTCAAACGCTGGCACCCCAGGGCCCTCGTACTTGCTGTTCCCTCTGCCTGAAACGCTCTTCCCCAGATAGTCCTCTGCTCTCTCCTTCGATTCCCTCTCGCCTCTGCTCAATTGTCCCCTCTTCAGAGAGGTCTTCCCTGACCAGCCCAACCAAAATAGCACCTTCCATCACTCAGTGGCCTCTTAAGCTTATTTCTGTTTATAGTATTTAGCACTGCCTGAGAGATTATATATTTATTTGCTTCTTATCTATCCTTCCCCTCATTTTATAATTTAAGCCCCATGAAGACACAGACTTCATGGTTTTCTTGCTTCTGTGGTGCCAGCACCGATAACAGGAAGCATTTATAATAAATATTTGCTAAATGAGTAAATGGATACATTTAAGATTTTTAAAAAAGTTCTTTGTGTGCAAATGCAGTTCCAAGGCAAGTCCCTTAGGCCTCCTTGTCCCCAACCAAATTTTCAGCTGTGAGTCTGTCCTATGTAAAAATTCTAGTGCTGCCCATACCACAGT